ATCTACACAGTAAGACCCTGCTGCAAGGCTGGAAACATAGCTCAGTTGGTGGACTGTGTGCTTAGCATGAATGCCTGGGTTCCATTCTTACAAGTGTATAAACCAGGTATACTGGTGCATGTCTATAACCTCAGCACTCCGGAGGTTAAGGCAAGAAGAACAGAAGTTCAAGACTGGGGCTGGAACGATGGCTTAGCAGTTAAGAGTACTGGCTGCTAAACCCAGGTTTAGTTCCAGTAGCCATATGGAGACTCACAAACATTTGTAACTCCAGTTCCAGGGAATCCCTCTTTTTGCCTCTGTGGACATTTTTAAGCAAAAGGTTGCACATACATACAGTACACCCAGGTATTCACACAAAACACATAATTCAAAGAAGCTCAAGGTCATCCTCTTATATACAATGACTTCTAGACCAGCCTGTTGTACTTGAGACCTTGTCTCAAGGGAAAAAAGTTGTCCTGTGATTTTTCACACTTGCACAGTGTGCAATATATGTGTTTTTTGTTTTTACTGTGCAACATGGGGATGATGTGGAAAGGTTGGGCAAAGGACAATATGCAGTATTCTAGGAACCAATTGGGAATTCTGTCAACTTCTAAGTATATTTATCCCATTTATACATTCTGGGACTGGGGAAATAACCACAGGATGAGTTCAGAGACCCACTGGACCTACTGTAAGTCAGACTTCAGCCAGAACTCTATCGATCACCTGACCTTCATAAGCCCCTACTTTAACTGGAGGACCATAGTATTTTTGGGGATCTCCGGGAATCAGTGTCAATTCAGAACCAGTAGACCCTGGATAATCCAAACAGACATTGTTCTGATTGTTCCCTTTCCCCCAGTGCAGTTACCCTTGTAAAAGGCTATAGGTCCCTCTGGGGGAAGGATGGGAGAAAAAACTATCTGTAAACTCTTAGGTATTGTATCAAGGCCCTTCCTGAGGGAAACCTGGCTGTCCCGTCATTCAAGGGGTTCTGGATCTAAAACTATCTCAAGTCTGGAAATTGGTTCACAGGCTGAGATTCCCTCTTGCCATGATCCAGTTCTTTACTTCCACTATGTGAGTCCAATCAAACTCAGGTGATCATGGTTGGCAGCGGAGGACTTTGTCCACTGAGCCATTTCCCCAGCCCAATATATTAAAGTAAAGTAAATATATTAAATTTAAGTAAAAAAAGAAAAAGGTACTAGGTGATGCTGGCGCATGCCTTTAATCCCAGCACTTGGAAGGCAGGGGCAGGCGGATCTCAGTGAGTTCGAGGCCTGCTTAGTCTACAAAGTGAGTTCCAGGACAGCCAGGACTGTTACACAGAGAAACTCTGTCTAAAAAAAAAAGGAATGAAACTTCAAATTATGGTAAGAACTAAGCTAGAAACACAAGAGATCACAGAACAGTGCCTATACTGGTAAAAGAGTCTAAAAATAACCATTAGAAGAGACACAGTTCAGCTGGAAATGAACTTACCAGGAACCAGGGTCAGGAAGAACCACATGAATGGGGATCAAGGAGAGAAGGAGCAGATGTCAAAACCAGAGACAGGAAGATGCAGTGTCCATGGGAAGACAATAAAAAAACAAAAAACAAAACCCACCCAGTGGGGCCAGAGGAACCACTCAGGAGTGGGCAGAGGCAAGTGTGGCAAGGGTCGTAGATGTTACTTTTAGGGCTTTGGGAATTCATGAGGTAGTATTTAGTAAACAAGTAACAAGATCCAACAAAACTTTTTGTTTAATTTTTTATGTGTGTGTGCGTGGGCATGTGAGTGTGGGCATGTGTGTTCCACAGCCCCACACATGGTTAAAAAACAAAATGTGGGGTGCTAGTTCCTCTCTTCCACCTTGAGACATAGGCTCTTGATGCTCATAGCTGTGCATTCCAGGCTAGGTGCCCTGCAAGATTCCAGGGAGCATCCTAGCTTTGCCTCCTATCTCCTCTGGTAGTAGGAGCATTAGGATTACAGAAGTGTAAGGCTTTTCATGAGTTCTGGGCATCAAGCTCAGGTCCCCAGTGATTCATCTCCTCAGCCCTCCGCAGGTCTTTTATTTACATTTACTTATTTAGATCTCATATGGCCCTAGCTGTAACCCCAGAGCAATGGTTCTCAACCTGTGGGCTATGACCCCTTTGGTGGCCGAACAATCCGTTTATAGGGGTCGCATATCAGATATTTACATTATGATTCATAACAGTAGCAGAATTACAGTTATGAAGTAACAACATAGTAATTTTATGGTTGGGGGTCACCATAACATGAGGAACTCTATTAAAGGGTCGCAGCATTAGGAGGGTTGAGAACCACTGCTTCAAAGTGTTATATTACAAGTGTGGGATGCCTCAGCCAACTCCAGTTTTTGTTTTTAGTTTTAGTATGACCTTGAGGACAGGGTGATCATTCTGACATAGAGAAAGTCCACAGACAGAAAGATGACCAAAACAATTACTGGGGGTTCAAGCAAAGATGAGAATACCATCCCAGTCAGGAGGCTAAGGCAGGAGGAGCACCTTTCCACACATTAAAGTAGGGTTGTAGCTGGGTGTGGTAGCACAGCCTTTAAATCCCAGTATTTGGGATTTAAAGTAAACAGAGCTCTGTGAGTTCAAGGCCAGCCACAGCTATGTAAAGAGATGCTGTCTCAAAACAAAAATAAATATGAGTTGTAGCCCAAGGGTTCTCAGGAAAAATTTTATTTTTTTCCTAATTAAAAAAAAATTTTTTTTGAGTTCAAGGCCAGCCTAGGACAGCTAGAACTACACAGAGAAATCCTGTCTCAAAAAAAAAGATCTTTTTTAGATTTGTTTTATGTGTATGAATATGTACCGCCTGAGTGCCTGAGGGTTATGAAAGATTATGAGCCAACATATGGATTCCAGGAATCAGACAGAGGTCATCTGCAAGAACAACAAGCATTTTTTAAAAGTTTTTCAAGATGGTTTTGTGTAGCCTTGGCTGTCCTAGCACTACCTCTATAGACCAGGCTGGCCTTGAACTCATGGAGATCCGCCTGCCTCTGCCTCCTGAGTGCTGGGATTAACGGCATTGTAACACCACCACCTGGGCCAACATGCACTCTTAACTGCTGAGCCATCTCACCAGCCCTCTATTTCCTTCCTATATAGACCAGACTGGCTTTCACTTGAAACAAGCCTCCGGCCTCTAACTCCCCAGTGCAGATCAAAAGCATGTGCCATCACGCCATTTAAAGACAGGGTCTCAGTTTATGTAGCCCTGGCTGGTCTTGAATTCAGAGGTCCACCTGCCTCTTTTGGGATTAAAGGTGTACACCACTGTTCCTGCCTCTGCCTAACATTTTGGGACAGAAGAGTTCACAGAACCTTGAGCTCCCTGTTTCAGCTAGACCGTTGCCACTAAGCCCCAGAAATCCATCTGTTTTCAACTCACAGTGCTGTAGTTACAGACACACAACATCCTATCTGGATTTTACATGAGTGCTGGAGATGGGAAGCCTGGTCCTCATAATCGGGCAGCAAGCACTTTAACCACTGAGATGTCTCAACAGCCCTTAAATTCTAAATGTTAAAAGCAAGCTGACTCCCCAGGCATTATCAGAGCTGGCTTCCCTAATTATCTCCATTTCATTCATGACAATCACCAAAGGGACAATCCCAGTCCACTCCAAGGCCTATGCAACCTCTATAGCGGGAAACCTCTGCCTTCCGATAGATGGCATTTACTCATTTCTTTCTTTCTTTTTTTTTTTTTCAAGACAGGGTTTCTCTGTGTAGCTTTGCGCCTTTCCTGGAACTCTCTTTGGAGACCAGGCTGGCCTTGAACTCACAGAGATCCGCCTGCCTCTGCCTCCCGAGCGCTGGGATTAAAGGCGTGCGCCACCACCGCCCGGCCATTTACTCATTTCAAACATCTTGAGCTCAAGAAAGGCCTTTCATGGAGTTGGAGAGATGGCTCAGAGGTTAACAGTGCTTGCTACTCTTGCAGGGGACCCAAGCTGAGATGCCAGCAAACTTCCAGTTGGCTTACTACAGCACCAGTTCCAGGGGATCCGAAATTCTCTTTGGCTTCCGTGGGAACACACGCGTACTCACACGCACAGACATAAATACAAACAAATAAATAAAATTTAGAGCCTTCCCTGGTCTTCAATGTATTAGCAGACCCAACCCAGACCTCAGTCACCAGAACTAGCTCTGTGCAAAATTTGCTGCCAGGTACTTGGCACACAGGAATTGTGGAAGCATATGGTGAATGGACGAATGCATCCTATCCTAGAGGCATTGGGATACCTAACCCCGTGTCAAAGTGGGGTTCGGTAGCCGTGGGAAATCGTGCTCTAGCTGCACCAGTTCGGTTCTGAAACGCAGATTTTTTTTCTCACAAAGCGGGACCCAAGCCAAAAGCAGCTGCCACCTGGAAGGGACCTGGAGAGGCAGCAAGGCAGTCCCCGAGTGGCCGCTATGGGTGGCACCGGCACTGAGGGCAGTTCATTGGGAAGGCACGCGCGGGGCCCACCCGGCGCCCAGGTTTTTGGGGAAGACACGGTGTTCTCAGCCCCGGGCGGGGGCGGGCAGCAACCCGATTCTGGGGTCTCGGGAGACAAGAGCGGTGCACACGCCGTTACTGTAGGTTGCCGAGGGGCTGAGGCAAGGAGTCCGCGTGTCGGGTCCGCGACAGAAAGGAGGGTGAAGGGGGAATGTGCAGTCGCGAGAACCCCGGAGGGCGCCGGAGGGAAGGCGGGGGCTGTTACCTGCAACATCCCGGTTGTCCATCTTGAGACTCATCCAATCCCACAATGCTCCGCCGCCACCTGAGAGGAGGGAGACTGCGTTATAGTGCGCTTGGTCTGATGGGAATTGTAGTCTTCCTCCGCCAATCACGTCCAACCCCTTCTAGGACGTCAACAGTCTTCTCCACAAAAACGCCGGCGTCAGTTCATGAAGGTGTGTCACCCTCAGTTGCGATGATGCAGAGGCGTCGTCTTCTCCTCAAACTCTCCCTCAGTCGCAGTCACTGCGAATATACACTATAAATCCCAGGATACCTTGCGCACCAGTTCTCGCGAGAACCACCAGGAGCGCCAGGCCCCGCCCCTCGAGGTGCTTCCGCCTCTCTGTGGAGGCGGCTTGTTGTTGTGCAGGCCAAGATGGCGGCACAGGCGGCGGCGGCGGCGGCGCAGGCAGCGGCGGCGGCGCAGGCGGCCGCGGCTCAGGCGGCGCAGGCCGAGGCGGCGGAGTCGTGGTATCTGGCTCTCCTGGGTTTCGCCGAGCACTTCCGCACGTCCAGTCCACCCAAGATCCGCCTGTGCGTTCACTGCCTGCAGGCCGTGTTTCCCTTCAAGCCGCCTCAGCGAATCGAGGCCCGTACGCACCTGCAGCTCGGCTCGGTGCTTTACCACCACACGAAGAACAGCGAGCAGGCGCGCAGCCATTTGGAGAAAGCGGTGAGCGTGCGGGCCGGCCGGGCGGGCCACGGGGTGCTGGGGGCGCGACCCTCTTCGCCTCCATCGTGTTTGGGGCTTCCGAAGGCCTCGCCCTCACCTGTGGTGACAGACACGGCTCTGCCACGCCCTCTCATCCAGGAACTGGCAGAGTTGTCCCTTAGCAACACCAGAGCTCCCGCTTCGGGCATCTCGTGGTTGGATGGCTGTGGGATCATTGCCCAGAGCGTCAGCCTGTAAGCTCCTGCCCGAGAGTGACTGGAGAGAAGCAGGAAGAGATCCAGACACCCTTTGAGACGTGAAAGTGAGGTCTCAGGAAATCTGGGAGATGTCAGTCCTGGTTCCTGGACCTGGCATTCTGACACTCAGGGGTCTGGGTCTCGGGTCTCTGTCCTTTGTGCGGAGGTTATTGGGGAAGATGAGACTCTGAGCCTGGGGTTGGACATCCCAGGACACCCTGGGGATGTCCTGGGATCCCAGAGCCAGTTGCTCCACGGGGGTCTGGAGGTCTCACCGTTGGTCCGCCTTCTGTGTACTAGTCTATCTTTGAAGGAATCCCCACTCACCTCCAACTTGTCTTGTGACATCTTGGTGGTTCACAGAATTTAAAGAAGCAGCTGTCGTTCCTCCCCTCCGTAAACTCTGTGAGTGCAGACTTGTTTCTTCTCATCGAAACGGTGTCCCTTTCACACCTCCACCTCCTTTTTGCCGTTTCCCTATCTCTTCGGATTGGAGGAGCTCCTTGAGTCATCTCAGAGGTTTAAATGCACTGACCCGTGGTCTGTCTAAGTAAGTTGCCTTCAGGAGGGGATGACATCCTTGTTCCAGGCTTTGCAGAGTTAGCACTTCTGATCCTCACCGACCACCAGCTTCCTAATTTCCAGAGTGAGACCACACAGGCTTAGCCAGGTGAAGTGATTAGCAAAGATCACCCTGTGAGGTTTTGGTTTTGGTGTTTTGGGCAAAAGTCTTACTTTTGGGATGTCTGTGATGTGAGCACTCATCACATTAGAGGCAAGAAGATAATAAACACAAGACTAGCCTGGGCTGCATAGCAAAAATGTCTCCAAGAAAGAAAGTAGGTCCGGCTAGACAACTCGGTGGACAAAGGCTTGATAACCTGAGTTCAGATGTTGTCTTCTGACCTCAGCATGTGTCTGCACTCATACACATCATACACACACACACAACCAATAGTTAATTTTAAAAATAAAAATGAAGAGTTGGGTGTGGTGGTAGATGCCTCTAATCCCAACACTCAGGAGACAGGGGGGCGAATCTCTGTGAGTACTGCAGTACATCTGGGACTACATAGAAGACCCGGTCTCAAAAAGAACCAATGATGGTGATGAAAACAGAGCAATTAAAAAACGAAACCTGGGCTCAACTTTGTGGATTTTATAAAGAGTTAATTATTTTTAATTATGTGTGGGTATATGCACATAAATGTTGTGCCCACTGAGGTCAGAGGCCTTGAGTCCCCTGGAACTAGAGTTAGAGTCAGAGTCATATGTGAGCTGCCCTATGGAGGCTCTGGGAAAAGAACTTGGGTCCTGTGCAGAGCAGTATGTGCTCTTAACTGTTGAGCCCTCTCTCTAGTCCCCTCAGTTTAGTGATCACCAGTTCCCATACTAGAACAAGATATCATTATTGTGTTAGTAAAGTTGTTTTGGTTTTTTGTTGTTGTTGTTCTTTTGCTTTTTCTTTCATTCATCATGGAGATGAATTCCCCTCCCACTGAATGTCAAGCCTGTTTTGGACTCTGGGTATTAGCTGACTGGAACATTCCCTACCCATGGAAGCTTTTTCTTTAGTTAGACTAGCAGTCAGTAAGGCTGTTAGTATAAGAGTTGTGGACACTGGACCTCAGGAAGGTATAGAGTTGATGTCTGGCTAGTTGGGAAGTGGGGATGAGAGAGTCTGTTATTTGCATGAGTGACATTTGAATGGTGTGAGTTAGTGAACCCACTCGGCTTCAGGTCAATAACAAGGAGTGCCTGTGGCCGGCAGTGGATTGGAGAGGCCAGGGCAATAGGGAGTGAGGTGACCCTGCCAAGTGCCAGGATTCAGTGTAGGCGCAGGCTGGAGGCTGCCAGGGCCTGCCTGCTTCTGAAACTTTTTCTTTCTTTCTTTCTTTCTTTCTTTCTTTCTTTCTTTCTTTCTTTCTTTCTTTCTCTCTTTCTCTCTTTCTCTCTTTCTTTCTCTCTCTCTTTCTGTATGTATTTATTTATTATCTATTATCAGCTTAATACAGTGCAAATTCTTATCCTAATAAGAAATGTTTCGGGGCTGGAGAGATGGCTCAGAGGTTAAGAGCACTGACTGTTCTTCCAGAGGTCCTGAGTTCAATTCCCAGCAACCACATGGTGGCTCACAACCATCTGTAATGAGACCTGGCACCCTCTTCTGGCCTGCAGACGTACATGAAGACAGAACACTGTATACATAATAAATAAATCTTTAAAAAAAAAAAAAAAAAAAGAAATGTTTCACTGAGGCTTGCCCAGTGATTGAGTAAAACCAAAACTTATTATAAGCCACAGTCATCCTAGGGTCCCCTCTGTTAGGTAGTCTCCCTGGTTCTGTGGGTTGCAGTCTGATTGTTCTTTGTTTTATATCTAGTATCCACTTATGAGTGAGTATATACCATGTTTGTCCTTCTGGGTCTGGGTTACCTCACTCAGGATGATATTTTCTAGTTCCATCCATTTGCTTGCAAATTCCATGCTGTCATTGTTTTTCTCTGCTGGAAACTCTTTTCTTTCTTGTTCAGGGCAGCTAATCCCACCACCTCTCTCACTCTTGTTTCCTTGGGTGTCGGTGTGTCCTCGTATTTCACCCACTCAGCCGTGTGCTGCAGTTGCTCTCCTTTAGCCCTTGGCTTTGAGACCAGTAACTGAAACCCTTACCCTTGGTGAAGTGCTTTTCCTTGATGGAACAGAAACCTGACTCCTGTGAGGTCTCCCACAGAACTACATGTTGCCCTTCATAGGTCACTCCAGCTCAATACCTGGAAAACCTTGTTAATCTCAGCTGCTCCTCCATTCAAAATCTGAGGAGTTTCATTTAAAGTGGCATGTATAGCCCCTTTTTTTGTCCTTGGAGTGACCCTCGGACGCTGTACATAAGCCACTCTCTGCTGCCAAGCTGTATCACTGGCCCCTTAATTTATTCTTATTGCCCTTTCCCCAAAGCACAGCCATGAACTTTCCTCTCTTGGACCCACTCAGTAAAGAATCATAGCATGAATCACACACAGACCTGTAGTCGTAGAGCCCTGAAATGGGTTTCAGCGAGCCCAGGAATTCCAAGCTAGCCTGAGCCATAGGACAAGATGCCCTTTTCTTTCTTCCTTTATTTATTTTTTTAATAAGACTTTTTTTAAGAGTTATTTATTTATTTATTTTATGTATATATGAGTGCTCTATCTGCATGGATGACCTTATGTCAGTAGAGGGCATTAGATCCCACTATAGATGGTTGTAAGTCACCATGTGGTTGCTGGGAATTGAACTCAGGACCTCTGGAAGAGCAGCCAGTGCTCTTAACCTCTGAGCCATCTCTCCAGCCCGCCCTTTTCTTTAAAAAACTAAAAGTATAATTGAGTTCTTTTAGAAAGTGCTGGGGTGAGAGGTATGCAGCACCACACCTGGCTGGTTCTTAGGTTTGAAATTGTGCATTCTGTTCCTTCCTTCCCTTGCTGGTCTTTGTCAGCATATCCACAGCATGCCCACGCTGTAGATGATACCATACCACCCTCTACTGTGAGTCCCCATTAGCAGATATCTCAGGTATCATGTACAGTATGCAGTGCTGCATTCAACAGCTCTTAAATAGGTGTCTGATGTCTAGTCACAGTGCCTGTGTTGTTCAGTCACTTTGTCAACATGGTATATAGAATAGCAACTCTTACCACAGATAGGGTAAGTTCAGAGCAATAAGGTATTTTGAGAAAGAGACCATGAGCCAATAATGTTTTGCCATCATTTGATCGGGTATGTGGGAAAGCTGGGATGGGAATGTTGCTCTTTTTATTTTATGTGGATTGGTGTTTTGCCTGCATGTATGTCTGTGTGAGGGTGTCAGATCCCCTGGAACTGGAGTTACAGACAGTTGTGAGCTGCCATGTGCTTGCTGGGAATTGAACCCAGGGTCCTCTGGAAGGGCAGCCAGTGCTTTTAACTGCTGTGCCATCTCTCCAGCCCTGGGAGTGTTGTCTTATCCTGGCTTCCTAGCAGCACTTGGGGTCTTGGGAAATCCTGTAAATAAGAGAAGGCTAGAAATTTCACCCCTCCATCTGTCCCTTCCTCCCTCCCTCTCCCTTCTTCCCTCCCTCCGTGAGCGTGTGTGTGTGTGTGTGTGTGTGTGTGTGTGTGTGTGTGTGTGTGTGTGTAAGAGAGAGAGAATAGGGGTGTAAAGCCATCCTCTTTAGAATCTTTGTGGGGTATGGACATGGGGGAATTCTCACTGCTCTGAAATGCTCCAGCAAGCAACAATGGTGTGAGCTCTTCTCTTCACAGAATTTGCTTTTCTTGCTGGAGAGCCTGAAAGCTGCTGCTGCAGGCAATGTGAGGCTGCATTATGTCACACAGATCCTGCTATTGCTGTGTGAATTTGGTCTGTCTTCAAAGCCAAAATGTGGCTTCTGCTTCATTTTCACACCCATCCTTCAAGCAGACAGGCTCATTTCAGTGGTCTGCCCATCTCCATGGGACTGATAGACTGTGGGTGGCATCAGTCGTTTTCTCAAGTTTTGAGACAGGAATGGAAACTGAACCTGGAGATCACCAATTGGGTAAACTGGCTGGTCAGCAAGTCCAGATGCCCTCCTGCCTCTGCTTCCCAGAGCTGGAATTATAGGCATGCATCATAGCACCTTGGTGTCGGAACTCAGAGAGTACTTGCTGACTGAGCATCTCCCAGCCTTCTTTAATTTGTGGTGCTGGGGATTGAACCTAGGCTCTTACCGCATGCTTGAGCATGCATCCTACCACATGCTATCTACTCCTCACTCTGCCAGCCCCAAACTTTGTTCTTTTGATCCCATAATCCCTTTTGTCTCTGGACCTGCAAGTGTGAATTATCATTCTTAGATGCTCCCAGTTTGAAAGCCATGGAGAAGAAAGGAATTATTGTTTTCTGCATCTACAGTTATTCTATGGCCTGGCTAAGGATACCATGCTGATGGCTTGCTTTCTCTGGGTTGCTTTGCTAGATGGGGTTAGCCCCCTAGGCTTGAGTGATCGTCCCAGGCCTCCATAATGGGCTGCAGGTGTGTGCCACACCTGCCCTAACTGCTCTGTGATGATGACTTTGCTCATCTGACCTGGAAAGCAGCTCCAGCTCCACTGGTCAGACACTGTTATTCTGTGGGTGACCTGGAAGTTTCTTCCCTTTCTCTTGATGCCTGAGGCTCAGATGGAGCAACTCTTTCTCTCCTGGATTTTGACCATGTCCTACTACATTCCATAGGCCTGGACTAGAAACCCATGCCCAGGCTTCGGCCACCGTGCAGAGCAGCTCCATGTGCTTTTTCCTGTTTTCCTTTCTGCTCTCTCTGTCTCTCTCTCTCCTCTCTCTCACTCTCTCCATCATCTCTGACTTTAGGAACTAAAGTCAGCATCACCTTTTATTCTGACTCACCCCTGCTTGCCTCTTCCACTTCATCCTGTCTTCAAAATACTGTTCTGTTTTTATGTTCATGTGGCATCCCTGCATTAAGCTCTATCTCATTGGATCCTCAGCAAACCAATGTGATAAAGACCTCCTGACTTCCCTTTTCACATTGTGTAGTGTGTGCATGTGTGTACACAGAGCATGTGTGCAGGTCAGAGAACAGCTTGTGGAAGTCTGCTCTCTTAGGTGGTCAGGCTTGGTGGCAAGCACCTTTACCCACTGAGCCGTCTTGCCCACCCCTCTCCTGATTGCCTTATGCCCACACTCAGGTCTTAGCTACCCATAGCAGGGCATTAGGGAAGCTCCCTGTTTCCAGTCATGACTGTGGCAGTCTGTAGATATCTCTACTCTAAGGTTGGTGGATTAGAAGACCTGATATTTTTTTTTTTCTGTTACTTCGTTTTCTATGAATGAGAAGCCTGTAAGCTGGGTGTGCAGACTCATCCCTATAATCCCTGCACTTTGGAGGCTGAGGCAGAAAAAAAAAATGCTATTCAAGGCCAGCATAACCTTGCCTCAAAAGCCAAAAAACATGAGCCTGGGCAAATACTCACTGGGTAAAAACTGTTGCTGTTGAAGAATGAGGACCTGAGTGCAGATCTCAGTCTCCATGTGAAAGATCTGGCACATAACCCCACTGGGAACCCTGCTGAGGAGCAGGAATAAGAAGAGTACTGGGGCTTGCTATCTGCTAGTCTACCTCCAGTCTCAAGGGAATAAGGGAGAGAAGGACAGACCATGATGGAAAGACCTGACTCCCACAAGCTGCCCTCTGACTTCCACATTCACACCGTGGCCTATTGAATGCATGTGTGTGTGCACACATATAAATAAATCATATAAACAAATGAGATGTTTAAAAAAATCTGGGCAGGTCCTTTGATTCTTCCCCATGGGGTCAGGCTCCACACCCAGGAGTGGACTCCCAGCCAGCTTAAGCCACCAGCCTTGTAGCCCCAGCTAGTCCAGGGCTTGGTTCCTTTATTACCAGCTCTTCTGTGTCTGGAGCATCCTGCTTCCCCTTTTCTACAGAGCCCTATGCTCACATCCTACTCTAGCCTTCAAAGCCCAGCACCAAGTAGATGCCGCATCTTGTGTGGCCTTTGGACACAGTGGAGTGGGCAAAGGGCCCAGTCCACCTGTCCACACCTTTTGGGCTCCTCTCAAATGTTAATTCTTAGGTAACTGTTTGTTGGACCCTAGGTTGGCAGGTCAGTGTTAGGTGTGCTCTTAGGAAGTCCCTGAAGATCCAAGTGACTGTAGACTGCATTACACACTAGCTAGGAACCTGTTGGAACATGTAGCTTGAGACATAGTGGTTCCTCAAGTCAAAGCTGACCCTCTGAATACTTTTACTTATTTACTTATTTATTTGATTTATTTACTTATTTATTTGGAGAAAGGGTCTCACTGTTTAGCTTTGGATAGCTGTGTAGACCAGTCTGGCCTCAAACTCATAAAGTTTCACCTGCCTCTGCCTCCCCAGTGCTGGGATTAAAGGACTATGCCTGGCTAGTTATTTTTATATGTCTTCTTCTGTTTGTGTGTACACCTGAATGTAAGTGCCTGTGGAGACTAAAGATGTTGAGAAGCTGGAGTTATGGATGGTTGTGAGCTGCCCAGCATGATGGGTTCTGGGAACCAAGCATGAATCCTCTGCAAGAACAGTAAACACTTGTTAACTGCTGAGTCATTTCTCTGGGTTTTTTTGTTGTTGTTGTTTTGTTTTGACTTGAAGATGTTTCAGTACACATCCTCAGGTTGGCCAGCTGCTGTCCACACTGGCACTCCCTTTCTGAGGCTAGCTCTGCCCTCTTTAAGCCTCTTTGATATGCTCCTTCCTCAGGAGGAACTTGTCCCATACACCAACCCCCTCCCCAAGTGTAACTCACTCCTCAGGCAAAGCTTTGCTGAATGTCCAAGCTTTCTGCCAGACTATCATCAGCCCTGCTGAGTCGTGGAATATGGCCAAGTTCACCGGGGTTCCCTCCCTGTACTATGTGGGAGCACTAGCTCCCTGACTGATGTTAGAAGGAGAAGTCCCCTCTTTGTTAGGCGTCTACCAAGAGCCCTGCAGCTTCCTTTCCCACGACCAGAGTGCAGGGAAAGCAAGCATACAACCCCCTTCCCCACAGTGCTCGTGGTGATGGGCATGCTGTGCCAGCCTCAGCATGAACCGAATAGCCAGGCACCAAGCATTTGCCTCAAAATTAATTAACCCTTTTTCTTTCTCTTTCAGTGGTTGATATCACAGCAAGTATCCTTTTCTTGTGTGTATGTGTGTGATGGCAGGTACCCGTGCTAGGGATGGAACCCAGAACCTGGGGCATGCTAAGCAAGTGTTCTGCCACTGAGCCATACTCCAAGGCCCTGTACTGTGCTCTTGAGGAAATGTTCTGCTTGAATGAAAGGCCCTCCTTCCCTGGCATATCATGTGCCCTAGCTGCCCTGGAAGCCAGCCACCACTCTGGGCAGCAAGGTCCTCATCCTGCTCCAAGGTGTCCTCTTACCCTGCAGCATGGAGGGGGAGGGGGACTCACTTGGAGCTGTGGTCCTTTTTAAAGAGATGTCTTTGCACTAGGCAGTAGTGGTGCACTGTGGAGGCTGAGGCAGGGGGATCTCTGTGAGTTCAAGGCCAGCGTGGTCTACATAGAGAAACCCTGTCTCCAAAAACAAAAACAAAACAAACAAAGAGATATCTTTGCATTGTACTTCCTTAACTGGACTTCTCCAGATCCCACAGTTTGAAGATGTTAAATTTGAGGCAGCAAGCCTGTTGTCAGAGCTATATTGTCAAGAGGTGAGAACATGTTACTGGTTCTGAAAGCAGAGTCTCTCCCTGTATCCTGGGCCTAGCGGGAGATTATGCTTCCCAGTTGGATAGAAGTTCACATTATGTTCAACCCTCAGAGACCCTGGGGACTCACCCCATGATTGTTGAAAACACCAGATCCAGGAGGTGCTTAGAACCCTTCTGTGGAGTGCTGCAGCCTGTATACAGAGCTTGTGCATGGTTCACACTCTTATTCCTGTGTTTATTAATTCAGGGCTAGAGACAAGCTGGTGCCTCATCTGAGCTAGACAGATACTGCCACTGAGCTTTGTCCTGTCCCTCTCCCCTCCCAGTGTATACTGCCTACTATAGTAGAAGTGACCGGCACCATTGTCCAGTATTCTTTAAGGGGTAACTTTTCCTTGTGTCTTTTTTGTGGTCCTGGGGGCGCCATGGCCTTATGCCTGTTAAGTAGACACCTTCTAGCACTGAACTGCACCTCCATCTTTTAGATTTTGTTATTTGTTTTTATTTTATGGGTATAAGTGTTTTGTGTATGTAAGTGTACCACATCCTTGCCAGTTGTCCAGAGTTTAGAAGTGGACATGAGCCGGGCGGTGGTGGCGCACGCCTTTAATCCCAGCACTCGGGAGGCAGAGGCCGGCGGATCTCTGTGAGTTCGAGGCCAGCCTGGGCTACCAAGTGAGTTCCAGGAAAGGCACAAAGCTACACAGAGAAACCCTGTCTCGAAAAAACCAAAAAAAAAAAAAAAAAAAAAAAAGAAGTGGACATGAGATCCCGTGGAAGTGGAGTGACAGATGGTTGTGAGCTGCCATGTGGGTGCTAGGAACTGAACCAGGTCCTCTGCAAGAGCAGCAAGTGCTCTTAACCACAGAGCCAGCCATCTCTCCAACCTCCCTCAAATTGTGTGTGTGTGTGTGTGTGTGTGTGTGTGTGTGTGTGTGTGTGTGTGTGTGTGTTGTTTTGGGGTTGAAGTTTTTTTGGGGGGGGGTGTCGTTTTGAGACAGTGTTCTAGTATATAGTATATAGCCTTGGCTGGTGTAGAGATCCACCTGCCTCTGCTTGCCAAGTGCTGGGATTAAAGGCATGAACCACCAGACCCAACACCAAATACAAATGTATATGTGTGTATATGTATGTATGTACATATGTATGTATGTGTATGTGTGTATATAACTTTTTAAGTTGTTTTTTGAGACATAGTCTCACTATGTACCTATACCTAGCTGGCCTAGAATTTGCTGTGTAACCTGGACTGGCTTCAAATCCATACCTCCTGCCTTAGCTTCCTCAATACTGAGATCCCAGGTGACATTGCCTACCATTCCTGTCTGAATAAGAAGCTTATTATATTTTATATTCTAAACTTTTTGTTTTGTTTTTTGAATTTTTTCCTTGTTGTTTTGTTTTTTTGAGACAGGATCTCACTACTTAGCTCTGGCTGTCCTAGAACTCACTATGTAGACCAGGCTGACCTCGAACTCTTAGAGATCTGTCTCCTTAATGCTGAGATTAAATGTATGAACCACCATGCATTTATATTCTAAATTTAAAATTTTTTTTTGTGGAAGAGTGTCATCCTGTAGCTTAGGCTGACCTTGAACTCACAGGCAGTCCTGCTTCAGACTCCTAAGCATTGATAAGACAGGTGTGAGCCACCACACCTATCGAGAAGTGATTTCAGGAGCCGTGCAGACTCTCCCCAAGTGGCAAGTGCACTGTATTAGCATTCCCATCTCCCCCCATGAGGTGGCAGCTGCTGCATCAGGGTCCAGCTCGATTGCCAGCTTGTCCTCCTCCTTGAACTTGAAACGGTTTCCTTTCAGAACTCTGTGGATGCAGCGAAGCCGCTGCTGCGGAAAGCCATCCAGATCTCACAGCAGACGCCATACTGGCACTGCCGCCTGCTCTTCCAGCTTGCCGTGAGTACAGGAGCAAGCGGGTCCTTGGGGCACGAACTCAAGGCACACAGACTCCCCTTGGGAGCCTCCTGGCTGCCCTAGAGGGACAGGCTGTTCCGCTGTCAGTCACCTCTTCTTTCCTGCACCTCTTTCTCAAGGGCACCTGAATGACCCCTTGCTGGTGTTGCCTGCCCTTGACCTCGCCATCTGTTGTGTCCCTTGTCTTCCTGTGATACAGCCCTATCACCCACATAGCCACAGATACTGGACTTCACAACCTTTCCCCAAGAGGTCCCCTTAGGCTCCCACGCTCACATCTTCTCTTTGTAACCTCCCATGTACTGTTGCTGAGGAAGTGGCTGGGCAGCTACATGACACTGTGCAAGGGAGCTGAGCTCTATACCAAGGATCTGCATGTGCCCTTCCGGGGCTCAGCCAAATTTGGTCTCTCTTTCAGTTGTTCAGGCTTCTGGCTTGAAGCATCCTTACTGCCTGCTCCCGAGGCAGCCCTTCCTAGTAACTCACCTGGTATCCACTGGGTCTGCCCAGGAACCCAGACTGCTGACTTTGTGCAGAAGTAACAGCATGGGGCGAGTACGCCCAGCTGTGTACCCCAGCAATCTGTGCTGATGGCTGTCTTGGTGCTTGAGCTCCAAACCAACACTGCAGTGACTAATGATGGAGGAGGCATTGGCAGCCATGGTCATTGCTTTTTCCCCTCTTCAGCAACTGCACACACTGGAGAAGGACCTGGTATCAGCCTGTGACCTCCTGGGCGTGGGGGCTGAGTATGCCCGAGTGGTGGGATCTGAATATACACGGTAGGCTCCGCCCATCCTTTTTCTCCTGCTCTCTAACTTGAAAAGAGTTTGGTTGTCCTGCTACTGACCCTAAACATGGCATCTTACTGTGTGGAAGTGGCCTCTGGTGTAGTGAGCCATGCATTCAATCCTAGGAAGTAGCCCATCAATAGATGAGACATGAATGGCTGGCTGGGAAGGCAGGGGCAGTGTCTCATTGGTAGAGCTGGTACTGGCAGTTTATCTGGTATTTTTTTTTCAATGTTTATTTATTTGTTATGTATATGGTGTTCTGCCGGGGAGAGGGCACCAGATCTCATTATAGATGGTTGTGAGCTACCATGTGGTTGCTGGGAATTGAACTCAGGACCTCTGAAAGAGCAGCCAGTGCTCTTAACCTCTAAGCCATCTCTCCAGCCCCTCTATCTGGTATTTTTGAGACAAGCTGTCACTATTGTAGCCTAGGATGGCCCCCAGCTACTTGCTTTAATCCTCCTGCCTCAGCCTCCTCCTGGGATGACAGGTTTGCATTTCCACACACAGCTTCCAAATTTCTTGAAATGGAAAGCACTGGTAGGGTTTGTCCAGCCACAGGTATTATTACAACAGGTGCCCCCTCGACAGCCAGGTGTGATCCTGACATGCCCTTAAGGCCTCCTTGGGTGGCACCTGAATGCATGTGGTGCACTTGTGCATGTAGGCACACACAGAGACATATATTTTTTTTCTTTTTCTTTCTTTCTTTTTTTTTTTTTTTTGAGACAAGGTTTCTGTTTTGTATCTCTGGCTGTCTTGGAATTCCATATGTAGACCAGTATGGCCTTGAACTCACACCTGTCTCTGCCTCTTGAGTGCTGGGATCAAAGGTGTGCTCTACCATGCCCAGTTAATGTGTATTTTTTAAGTTCAAAGTTAAGCTGGGAATATAGTGCAATGGCGGAGTGTAAGACCTTAAGTTCAATTCCCAGCATGCCACCCCCCCCCGAAAAAGATGTTCATGGTCATTGTCAGCTGCATAGTAAGTTTGAGGCCAACCTGGGTTACGTGAGAACCAGCTTCGTGACCCCCCTCCCCCTCCCAAAAAAAAAAAAAAACATAAATATAAATGAGGACAAAATGCAGCACTCTCAAAAGTTCTGTTATTAAGCTCACCTCCCTGAGGGGCAGCCTTGTTGATCCCCAGGGTTCCTGGTATCTTTCAAACCTAATGTCTTGTCTCTTTTCCAGGGCACTGTTCCTGCTCAGCAAAGGGATGGTAAGTTGAGGCTGGGCGGGTGCAGCTGTATTGTGGGCATGAAGACGCCTGCAGGGCTTCACTCCACAGTGTGTTCTCAAGAGCAAGGGTTCTGCTCTGGCAGGCTTCATTCGGGGCCCTGAGGTCACAGGTGGTAGGTGTGGTATTGAGGAAGCCTGCTGTGGAGCTACCTGTACAGTTTCTTTGTTGTATCCAGCTTTGTTTATTTGAGACAGGGTTTCTCTGTATAGCCCTGACTGTTCTGGAACTCTCTATGTAGACCAGGCTGGCCTCAAACTCAGAGATCTGTCTGCCTCTGTCTCCCAAGTGCTGGGATTAAAGGCAAGCATTGCCATTCCTGACATCACTGCACCCAGCTTTGCCTTCTTGGGGGGCTGTCCTCAGCTGTTGGACTGGTGACAGTGATGCCCACCTCACCATCCCTTCCAGTTGCTGCTGATGGAGCGCAAACTGCAAGAGGTACACCCACTGCTCACGCTCTGCGGGCAAATTGTGGAGAACTGGCAAGGCAACCCCATCCAGAAGGAGTCATTGCGTGTCTTCTTCCTGGTGCTGCAGGTGACCCACTACCTAGATGCTGGGCAGGTATGTGGTCTTTCGGGCAGGGGAGGGGTTGCTCATGATATGGTCTCATTGCTGTATGTTTGTGAATGCACTACCATAGATTCAGGTGTCCTGTTCTGGCACAGGTGCAGTTCTGCCACACTTTATGGCATAACCCCAAGGGTAGAGTGTGCTCAGGGGACAGGCTTTATTCTAGTGGCCCTGTTGTCATTTGAATAAGAATGTGTGGCCCCACACCCATTGAGTGCACATGTGGTTGGGGTCTCTAAGGGAATCGTGCAGCAGGCTCCCCTTCCTCAGTTCACAGCAGCTTTGTGAGGGTCAGTGGGGACCTTGGTGTGGCTGCATGGTTGCATTGAAGCCCTGGTATCTGTGTTTGTGTGATGTGGCCTCAGCTGTGATGAATGGGAGCCACCTGGCCTGCCCTGGCCCTTGCCTGTTCCTATGGGCCCACTGGCTGCATGCCACTGTGCAGTACTGGGCCAGTGTTGTAGGGATCATGACATGCTTAGTGAGCCTCTTGTTAGTAAGGGCCTTCCTATGTTCCTGTTGGGCCCAGCTCCTCATGCAGCATGGAAAACATGGCAGATATGGGTTGTTCCTGACTGCTGAGAGTCACAGCTCTCCTGAGAAGCTCAGGATGGCAAGCAGGAGGGTTGGCAGAAGCTGCAGTGCCAACAGCGCTTCTGTTTGTGGGAGGCCAAGTCAACTCAGCCAGGGTCTCTGCTCCCTGCCAAAGAGCTAGCCTGGACCTGGGGATGTGGGCTTCTGCGATAGGACAGGGACGTCCCATGCAGGAGCTGGGCAAGAGTGATAGATCTCCTGGGGTATGGTGCTGAGGCATACATGCCGCAGGTGAAGAGTGTCAAGCCATGCCTGAAGCAGCTGCAGCAGTGCATTCAGACCATCTCCACGCTACACGACGATGAGATCCTGCCCAGCAATCCTGCTGACCTCTTCCACTGGCTGCCCAAGGAGCACATGTGCGTGCTCGTCTACCTGGTGAGTCCCGTCACCCTGGGCTGCCTGGGCTGGGAGAGGGCCCTGTGACCACCGCCCGCTCTCCTTGCAGGTCACAGTGATGCATTCAATGCAGGCTGGCTACCTGGAGAAGGCACAGAAGTACACAGACAAGGCACTCATGCAGTTGGAAAAGCTCAAGAGTGAGTGCCACCTGGGTGGGGATACCAAGCAATCCCAGCAGCTCCAAGTTGTCCCTGACATTAGAACATGTCCATGCCCTGGGAGGCCACAGTAGCCCTCACCTACCTGCTCTGAATCCTCCAGAGTCTATGGGCTGTGTGCACACACTTGATTTTGTGCATCCCAGGATGCATGTGACCTTAGTATTGCACTAAATCGCATTGGCCCTGTGCCCTCCTCAGCACTACTGAAGGAGAGATAAAATGGGAACCCCAGAGCCTGTGGGACTGCTGCTTTTTACCCTGAAGCTGGATTGGGCAAGAACTGAGCCCCTTCTTTTCCTTCCGAGGAGAGCTGTGCAGGGCTGCCAGGAGCTGCCTGGGGTCCCCGTAGCTTGGATACTGGCCCAGGCATGCACCGTTGAAGACATCTTAGAGAACCCACTCAGCAGGTTCTTGAGCTCTTAGCAGGGGTGGCAGTTGTGCCAGCTTCTGTAGAGCTTACCTGTGTGTGGCATGGTGCTCAGCCCAGTGTCCTGTGGTTTTTGGTGCTTGGTATCCAGGCCAGGACCTATGCTTGCTGAGCCCTGCTGTACCTGAACACCACCCAGTGGGGATTTCTCAGCCTTGGTACACTTGGCAGTGGCCATGGCTTGAGCTTATGTCCTTATCTAGATGGGAAGACGTAGCGGGGATGGTGTAGGAAGGGCCCTGTGGGACCATGCCTGCATGCTCACCCCTGCCTCCTGTCCCCAGTGCTGGACTGCAGCCCCATCCTGTCATCCTTCCAAGTGATCCTCCTGGAGCATATCATCATGTGCCGGCTCGTCACAGGCCACAAGGCCACTGCACTACAGGAGGTAGCAAGCACAGAGCAGGATGGTGGGAGCTGGCCTGGGTAGGGGCACAGGTGTCAAGAGGGGAGGGTGTAGCGACCTCACTGTCACTGCTCTAGCATGGTGAGCTGTAGGATATAATGTAAAGCCGATAGTCTGGCTCCCTAAACTTGCTTTTTTTTTTTTTTTTTTTTTCTTCTTCAAACTAATGCTCAGGGAACATTGTGATGTGACTGGGATCCGTGTCACCAAAATGCCCACCTTTCTGAGAACATTGAGAGAAGTTGGGCCAGTGGTCAGCATGGGCAAGGAGGAAGGAGATAAGGGTCACCCTCCTCCCTGTGCAGCTCCTCCTTCCAGGACTTTGACCCTAGTTTGGCGAGCATATCTTCCAGCCTTGAGGCTGTACTCCACTACTGGGTACCAGAGAAGGCAGTGATTTCCATTCTCTCCTCAGATCTCCCAGGTCTGCCAGCTATGCCAACAGTCCCCTCGGCTCTTCTCCAACCATGCTGCCCAGTTGCACACACTGCTGGTGAGTGTGTCCTGGGTGCTGGGTCCCACTCTTGCCAGAATCCCGAACCTAGAACATACCTAAAAAGAACATGATCTACCCTGAAAGAATCTGGATGTCCCAGTAAATAACCCTGTGACACTACCCAGTTAGTATCCAAATGTTCCTAGTGAGCTCTGTTCTGTCAGGGGGAGGGTGTCCTTTACAATAGTGTGAAGCTCATTCCAGAGGCCCAGGTACACATCATGCTTGCCTAGGGCCAACATCTATCCCTGTCCTTGCAGGGCCTGTACTGTGTTTCCGTGAACTGCATGGACAATGCTGAAGCCCAATTCACCACAGCCCTGCGGGTAAGGCTGGTTCTCTGAGTGGCAATTTGTCAAGTTGGGTACCCCCTAGTGAGGATGGAGACCAGTTCAGGTCTGCTGCTAGAACTGTAGGCTTTCAGCCCATGTCCTCTGTAGTCAGCTAACACTGACCATGATAGTGACACAGTTCTTGTTTAGGTGGGAGCTGACTGGGGTGGAGGGTTCCTGAACACCCTTGGCAGATATAAGGGAAGGACATATGTATCGGGGCCATAAGGACACTAGGTGGCCACTTTGACACCTGGTAAGTGCCAGGACACTCTCAGTCTGTGTCAGCTTGTGGTACTCCTGGAGTCGTCATGAATTCTGAAGTTGTGTAGAGTCACATTGTGTAGATGACCAGTGACTGGGACATGCCCTTATCCTACCTAAGTCCTTTGATAGGTGCTCAGAGACAGAGGACAGGTTTTACCTCAGAGAGGGGGCTCCCCCACAAGGCACCTACACCCTTAGGCTGCTGACCTCCTACAGGCTCCTGCTGGTCCCTGAGAAACTGGTCCATTTCTCCCAGAGTGGCCCAGATGCTTCTTGGGCTAGCTCACCTCCCAGCTCTGCCCACCTGGCCCAAGAACAGGGAAGGCTGTCCCTACCCTGGCCTCAATGTCCTTGCAGGAAAGGGAGGCTACTGACCCATTCCTCAGGGAGCCCCCCAGTAGACATTTTGGTGAGCAGGATTCTGTTCTGTGAGCAAGGTGCTGGGGCATCTCTGACTGTGGGATGGGGGTTCCTTTCCTTGGTGGTCTACATGTCTTTGGGTGCTGTGTGAAGAGCCAACTCCTCTGGCTCTACCCTTGTTTGTCTCCCTGGGTCTCAGGCCTTCCTGCTGCAATGCCAAGGCCCTTCTTCAATGCCAGAAACTTCATATTCTTATTGGTTGTCTTATTTCTTTGTATGGCTTTGGCTCAGCAGCACAATGCTGAAGTCATGTGCTGAGGGGAGTTGGAGAATCCATGGGGGCGAGGAGCTAGGACAGACAAGGACCTCACCCTCAACTCAAGCTCCTCCTGTTACCCACGGCTGACAGGCCAGTGCTGGTGCAGGTCAGGGAAGGGTACTCCAAGGTTTTGTGTGCCCAGCCTGCTGGCAGGCCCTGTACTTCAGTGGACATGCCCACTGCAGGGACCTGGGCTCAAAGGGCTTGGGCTGCCTAGAATCTCATATCCTTTCCTCCTTCCTTCTGTCCCATACTGGAGATTGAATCTAGAATTTCACACATGCCAGGCAATTGCTATATTGCCAAACTGCAGTCCCTGCTCATGGTTTTTAAGAGGATATCTAAGTTGCACAGGCTGGCCTTAAATTCTGATCTTGCCTGGCTGGATGGGGTGGCACACACCTTTGATACCAGCACTCAGGAGGCAGACACATGTGGGTCTCTGAATTTGAGGCCAGCATGGTTTACAGAGTGAGTTCCAGGACAACCAGGACTGTTACACAGAGAAACTGTCTTGAAAAACCAAAAAAGAAAAAGAAAATTTCTGATCTTGCCTCAGCCTCCCAAATGCTGGGGTGACCAGCTAGTACCACCATACCTAACAGTTTACTCCTTCTCTTGACCATGTAATGTCCCACTATCTGTGGTTCAGTGGCAGAGAGCATGCTAAACATGTTTTGAGGCTTGGGTATACATCTATTGACTTGCAAAGAAAAAACAAGCCAGGGTGGTTGCAGGCCTCTCGTCTTGTCACTCAGGACACTGAGGCAGAAGGATAGAGAATTCCAGGCCAGTCTAGGCTGTGTGTTGAGACCGCGTCTTGCCATTATCCTCTATTGGTCATTGATAGGATCAGGATAGCTAGCTTTCCTGTTCATGTCCCAAATGTCCCCTGACAGGGCTGATGTAGAAAGCGCTGACCTCTCCTTCGTGCTTAGGTTTGGAGTGAGCTGGGTGAGTTGGAAAGGAGCTCTGGGTACAGTCAAGCTCCAGCAAGGTGTGACAGTGGCCAGGCTGGCCACTGAATGCCATATCTTCCATTGCAGCTCACCAACCACCAGGAGCTATGGGCCTTCATTGTGACCAACCTTGCGAGTGTGTATATACGGGAAGGAAATAGACACCAAGAGGTAGTAGGTGACATGCTTCATGTTCGGTATCCTTTCTCCATCTCTGCCTAGGGGCTGTGGGTGTCCTGGGCACCCACAGACTTAGAAAAACCCAAATGTTTAGCTTTCTATGAGGATACATTTGAGGGGTTGGGACTGGGACTGGAGCTGCACTCCTGCAGCCATGTAGCCTCTGTCCCATCCTAAGCCACTCAAGCTTTATTGACCCCACATTGTGCCTTTTAACAAAATTTTTGTGGTGCTAGGGTCCAACCCAGGGCCTCTTGCATGCTGCCAAGCATTCTGCTACAGAGCCACAGCCTTGCCTCAAATCAAGGCCTAATGTCCCCACTCTCCTACATGGTTCCCTCAGATGGACACCCCCATCTTGAGGGTATTCTGGCCAGGCATGCTGCATATTGTTATATTCTTCCATCGGAGTGGAGGAAGCCCTATCCCCTGTAGCATGTTCAGGGCCTGGCCTCTGGGTGGAGCTCAGTCCTCACTGACTGACATTTCTCCACCAGCTATACAGTTTGCTTGAGAGGATAAACCCAGACCACAGCTTCCCAGTCAGGTGAGTAGCCTGTGCCCAACACAAGACATCCCATGTTCCCATTGCTCATGGAGTGGTATGTGCTCCTGTGGGCCCCAGACTGCCATACAGACTCAACACTGCTTGTACCCCATCCTTCAGACAGTCTGCAGGCCTCCCTTTGAGAAACCTTTCTTCTATAACTGACTGTGACTCTGCTTCCCTACAGCTCACACTGCCTCCGAGCGGCAGCCTTTTATGTGCGGGGGCTCTTCTCCTTCTTCCAGGGCCGCTACAATGAAGCCAAGTGAGTTTGGGTTGGGGCACCATGTATGATGGCCTCTCCTTCCTCAGGCCACCTCTCTTCTGTGTGACTCATAGGCCTGCAGGATTTCAGCATCTGTCTCCTTGTGTAGGCGATTTCTACGAGAAACTCTAAAGATGTCAAATGCAGAGGACCTGAACCGCCTCACAGCCTGTTCACTCGTGCTGCTGGGCCACATCTTCTATGTGCTGGGGAATCACAGGGTGAGTCCCTACCTGGCCAGTGGGTGCACCACTGTGGAGCCTGGCACTTCCTGTCCTGGAATCCAGGAAAGCATATTGTGGAAGACCACACACTACTGACATGCAGGGTGTGGAAGGCATGGGGGCCTGGGGTCAGGGCAGCCTAGACAACAGGTTCCCTTCCAGGGTGTATATGTCAGGCTCACAAGCCTCAGCATGAGAGACAGAGCTGCCTCCTGCCATGCTCCTGTTGGCTCCTCAGCACACCATCCCTCTGGAGTACATAGTCCCCTGGGACTGTCCCAGGACCTTAGATGGAACCAACAATGTCAAAACCACCTATGTCTGTGGCACCGTCAACCACATGCCTTCACAAACTTAACTTTATTTCACTTTATGGTAAAATATAGTGAATAGCCAGTGAGGGTAGCTTGGCTGTAGAGAGCAGGGAGTGGCCTTGGTGTTTCCAGTGCCATGGCCTGCTGAGTGGGGCAGCTGCCTGGGCATTGGGCAGGACCATGTGGTCACCCCATGTGATGGTGGGACTCTAGTGTGTGGTGGAGCACTTGGAACAGGGATTGGGCCAGAAACCTGCTTATTTAGCAGTGTCTGCCACTCCCATGGCTTGCCGTAAAACACCCCTCTGCCTGTGTGAGCCTGACTCAGGGACAGCTGGGCCTGGCATGAAGCAACAGGGAAAGGTCAGCCAGGCCAGACCCTCATTGGTGAGACAAGCAAGAGCCACAGCCACATGACCAGGAGAGGGCTGGCTCAGATGAGGGTCAAACCTGCCCTAGGCATCTATAGAGCCAGCCTGATTTCAGCCCTTCCTCGGGCCAAGAGGAGGGAAACAGTGCCCACCGAGGTCTGAGAATCCTCTACTCGGTTTGATTTTGGTTGTTGGAGGTGGAGGTCTGACTGTAGCCCTGCCTAGGTGTGTTTGGTTAGGTTGTTTTCCCACTAAGCTGTACCCAGGCCTAGAATCTGGCTTAAGGCTTTTGAATTTTTACTATTTATTCATTTTTAGATTTACTTATTTTATGTGTGTGAATGTTTTACCTGTGTGTATGTGTGTGTGCGTGCACACGCACCTGGTACCCACAGGGATCAGAAAAAATGGGGTCAGATCTCCTGGTTCTGAAATTAGACAGTTGTGAGCTGCCATGTGGATGCAAGAGCAGCCAGTGCCCTCAGCCTCTCAGCCATCTCTCTGGCCCCTGGTTTGAGGATTTGGTGTTCTGCTGCTGGGAGCTATCACAGGACATACCCAAAACCAGGCCTGCAATCTGGATAGGTACACAGGGCACAGTTTGGACTTGAGAGCAACCTCCTGTTCCTCAGTGTGGGGTCAGCATCAGGGGCGTGCTCCCCAGGACTCCCCTAGCCTCATCATGAGAGCACTGGACTCTAGGTCAGCAGCTTGGCTCACACAGAAGCTGAGTAGAAGGGGTTACGGGCCAGAGACCCCACCTACAGAAGCCAGCTCAACGGAGCAGACCTTCCCATCAGTCCGGTGGCTTCTTCCTCCTGAAGCAGACCTTTGGCACAGACTGCTTTCCCTCAGAGGCCCAGGGACACCTACGTGAATTCACAGTTCTTTTCTTTTTGTTTGCTTTTGTCTTTCAAGACAGGGTTTCTCTGTGTACCCCTGGCTGTCCTGGAACTCATTCTGTAGACCAGGCTGGCCTCGAACTCACAGATCCACCTGCCATTGCCTCCTGAGGGAGGGATTTGCTGAGATTAAAGGTGTGGACTACCTCCATCTAATCATTTCTTTTTTCTTTTTTCTTTTTTTTTTTTTGGTTTTTTTGAGACAGTGTTTCTCTGTGTAGCTTTGGTGCCTGTCCTGGAACTCACTCTGTAGCCTAGACTGGCCTCGAACTCACAGAGATCCGCCTGGCTCTGCCTCCCGAGTGCTGGGATTAAAGGCGTGCGCCACCACCACCTGGCTAATCATTTCTTATTGTGGGTCCAGAGCTGTCTTTTTCTCTAGCTGGCAAGAGGCACACTGTGGCCCACTTACTGCCTCATGTGCAGAGCTCAGTGTGCAAGGATGCCCAGTTTGTTTTTTCAAGGTGGACAAGAGTACTTGAGAGGACCACTTTAGGTAGGCTCTGAGGTTGGACTCCTAGTTTGTCTAGCAGCACTAGAACATAAAATGGGCAGGTGGAGTCAAAGCCACTCTTCCAAAGCCACCAGTTCATTCTTAGCTTTTGATTGGCAGGAGAGTAACAACATGGTGGTGCCTGCCATGCAGCTGGCCAGCAAGATCCCAGACATGTCTGTGCAACTGTGGTCATCGGCCCTCCTCAGAGGTGAGAGTGAACAAGGCTACCAGGCATACTTTTGGGGCCCTGATAGCATATGAGCAGGGGTACATCTTCAGAGGATTTTTATTTTTGTTTGTTTTTGTTTTTGTTTTTCAAGACAGGGTTTCTCTGTGTAGCTTTGCGCCTTTCCTGGAACTCACTCTGTAGACCAGGCTGGCCTCGAACTCACAGAGATCTGCCTGGCTCTGCCTCCTGAGTGCTGGGATTAAAGGCGTGCGCCACTACCGCCCGGCGGATTTTTATTTTTGTTTATTGAAGACAGGGTCTTGATACATAGCCCTGGCTGGCCTGGAATTCTATGTAGACAAGGCTGGCCTTGAACTCACAGAGATTTACACTCCTTTGTCTGCCAAGCCACTATGCCTGGCTTTCCAGGGGACTTTTAAGGACTATGGCAGGTGGGGTTGGGGCGTCTCCTTATAGGGCTTAATAGACGATCCTCCTGAACCTCAAGATGGGTTTGGATCCCTGAGGACAATTCCTGTCTGCTCTGGGTGGTATGGGTTTGGCCACCCATGAAATGAACTAGACAATGACACCTGCCCCATCCTCAGATCTAAACAAGGCATGTGGGAATGCCATGGACGCCCATGAGGCTGCACAGATGCACCAGAACTTCTCACAGCAGCTGCTGCAGGACCACATTGAGGCCTGCAGCCTCCCAGAGCACAACCTCATTACGGTATACAGGGTGGGGAAATGGACATGGGGATGAGGGACTCCGGCTCCTCGGGTGTGGAGGGGCTGTGTCAGTTGTCCCTCTCTTAGAAGGGTCACCAGGCTTACCTGTGTGTGTTCTTCCCACAGTGGACAGATGGCCCACCCCCTGTGCAGTTCCAAGCTCAGAATGGACCCAACACCAGCCTGGCCAGCCTTCTGTGAGGCCCCTATGGCCTTTGTCCCCAACTTGGACCCAACACTGGAGCTTTCTGGGAACAAAACCACCAGGGTGTCCACCAACCCCTCACCATTGTCCGGAGCTGAGTACCAGTAGTGCTGGAGTCATCATCTGCCTCTGAGGGTGACAGCCAGTCCTGCCTGTACCAGGACTCAGTGCCGTCTGTTGGAGAGGACTGATGACCTAATCTGAGTTTGAGTCTCATGTGTGAGGAATAGGATGACAATCTGTGTGCGGGGGCATCATCAGACTGCTCAACCAAACCTTGGTGCCGACTACCTAAGTACAACTGCACAGAGCAGCCCAGGGCAAGCTGAGGGGAGAGCAGCAGCCCTCACTTTCCTCATCCTGCTGTTCTTCCAGCGTCCCTGCACTCAGGGACTTCTGAGGACCTGGAAGTCAGCCTCTCAACCTGACTGTTCCTGGAAGGTGACTCTAGTGCAGGGGCGGAGCTTGGGACAGGATGTGCATGTGCAGTTGATGCAACTGAGACCTTGTGTCCCCACCATGCCCTCAGCAAGCTCCTTGCTTCTATTCAGCAGCCACCTCTTGGCTCTGCCTGGGCACTAGGCAGAAGTCCCACTGGACCTGGACGAAGGAGCTTCCTTCCGGCAGCTGTGTGGCCTTCCCATGGAGGACAGTCATGGGACCAGCTTCGCTCCTCCTCCTAGCTTGAGGGCTGCACCAAGGTGACACAGTGATGTCAAGGGACAATGGTTCCTGCCAGCTTGTAGTACCTAGGCAGGTGTTCTCTTTGGTGGTGAAGGTGGTGCTTGGGAGCTGTCACCCAGGTACCGTGAAGGCCACTTGTCAGAGCTTTGGAATCCATGACTGAAGGGACAAGGCTCCAAGGCCTTGGTGTACATCCTCACTGAGCCATGTGGCAGCCACTGCCCGTGGCCAGGTGCTCCCTACCTTTTTGTCTTCCTCCAGCCCTTTGGGTCCCAGGGACCCCCTCAGTGTCTTCATCACGGTCCTGCCTATTTATTTAAGCTTTTTTTTTTTTTTTTTTTTTTTTTTTTGCTTCTAGGGCATTTTGTACATAGAGCAATTCAAACAAGAACCTCGCAACTTGACATCTGTCCTGATGTTAGAGTGCTTTTAGTGACCATGTCTCAGGCATGTGACAGCTAAGGATGGGGTCATGACAAACTCCATGATCGATGTTGAGGTTCCACTGAAGTGAAACCTCCATGATCCCAGTGCAGTCTCCACAGTGTCCAGTAACTAAAGATTGAGAGAAAACCCAAAAGGGTCAGCACACACAGCTCTTATGTCCCAGCAAGTGCCAAGAGCCGGACACAAGCTACCCGGGAAACCAGGCTGGGGTGTAGCCCTAGATATGGCTGTCACCCCTTGAGCTACAGGTGACACTGTCGAATGAAGGAAGGCATGTCATGAGTGAGGAGAAAGTTTTTTAATATGATGGTGTTGCCTGGTTTTAGCAGCCTGTGTTTTTAATGAAGAACTTAATAATTTTAAGTGGAGAGCTGTGAGAAGAAGTCTGCCTGTATTTGCTACATGGCCACCACTCCCCAAGCCTTTGCATTTTCTCACCCTCCAGCCCTCCCAGCAGTCACTCTCCTGTGGACTGCAGCCCCTTTCTGAACTCAGCCTAGTGGAAAACTGGTCCACAGCCCCTCTTGTGTTTGGTCTCGGGTGGTTGGTTGGTTAGTTTCATTGTTTGTGCTTGTTTTGAGGACTCTGCAGTGGAGCAGTGGCCGCCTGAAGAACTTAGTTCTCTTGTGTCAGCTTCCCAAGTGCTGGGATTCAAGGCAGATTCCACCATGCCTGGCTCTTTTAGTTTGGCTTTGGGGTTTTGATCAAAAGGGGCAGTGTTCAGAGCTTTTTTTTTCCTTTGAGACAGAATCTCTTCTTTATGAATGACCCTGAACTCTGATTCTCCTGCCTCCACTAACCTAGTACTGGGATGTTAGGCATTTGCCACCACATCTGCTTTATCTGGTGCTGCTAGACCAGCGGTCTGCCAACTGAGCCATAGCTTTGTCCCTTAGTCCCTGTCTTGATACAGCATTTGGGGTTTGGACCTTCTGTGAAGGGCATTCCACCCTGCAGTTCCAGCACACAAGCCCCTAGACAGGCTTGCTCCTATACCTGGGTGTCCTTCTGGTCCCCAAGTTCTTAGAAGGAAGAGATCAATTGGACATGGTGGTTCATAGCTGTCATCCCAGTGTTTGGGAAGCTGAGGTGGGAGAACTATTTCAAGTTCCATGCCAGTCAGGGCAACACAGTGAAATACGAATAAACCAATAAAAGAAAACCTGGGTCAACTCCTATGCCCCAGAGTGGGGAAGGCTTTTTGCTTTCCCATGGGATTGGTGGGTTTTGTTTGGTAGTTGAATCTTGACTGTTGAGTTGAAATCCATATAAAATTAGACAGCTTTTGTTGATAGGGTTTTTTTTGTTTGTTTGTTTTTTTGGTTGACTGAATTTGACAAAGATAGAATTTTACTGTGTAGCCCTGACTAGCCTTGAACTTGTAGCTATTCCTCCCTGAATCTCAGCCAAGAGTAAGGTGTGAACCACCACTCACAAGTTTAGACTGTTGTTTTTGTGGCTTGGTTTCAGGATCCCTCCCACTGAGCCTAGAGCATTCTTATGCTTCAACCCCATGTCTCTGGGACCATAGGTGGCACCCTACCATGCCATCTCTCCAGCCACTTTTTTGTGTTTTTTATGCTTTGCTGGGGTGGAACTTGTGTATGCCAGGCACACCTTCCTCCCTGAGGTGCACTGCAGCTGCTCCCTCAAGTCACTATCGAAACCTCTCAAGACCTCAATGCTAAGAGGACTCCAGGGCAGAGCCACTGTCCTTCCTGAGAGGATTTGGATTCCAACTGTGTGTCCATCCTCCACACCTGTGCATATCTGCCTTTGCAATTCAGCCTAAACTGGATTTCAGGTAGATTCTGCTCATCCTTCGTCAACCTGAAGGTCTCAGAACAGACCAGTGTCCTGGGTCCTCCTCACCAGCCAGTCTCTGGAGAGGGCTGTGCTAGTTGAGTCCTCATGCTTTACTAATGTGTGTCGGTGGTTGCTCCACAAAGGAAGAGCTGCCCTGTGACAGCAGGTGTCCCCATCTGGGAGATTTGAGTCTGTCAGCAGCCTGTCCTGAGCTGTTTGAGAAATTACCCCAGAGGTTGAGGAGTGACTGTAAAGGGATAGCTACTCATGAGGGTGGCCTTCCGTGCCCAAGTAACAAAAACCTTACAGCCAGGCAAAGTGTGGCATATAACTATGGTCCCAGCACTTAAGAGATAGAGTCAAGAGGCGTTCAAGTCATCCTCAGGCCAGTCTGGGCTATACAAGACCATCTTTTTTTAAAAAAAAAAAAAAAAAAAAAAAAAAATGAAATGAGCTGGAGAAGTGGTTCAGCTGTTAGGAGGAATTACTGCTCTCCCAGAGGACCTGAGTTACTTCCCAGCATGCACGTCAGGCAGCTCACAACCACCTGTAACTCCAGCTCCACGGGTCTGACACCCTCTTCTGGCCTCTACAGTTACTCGAACACTTACAGGATATACACATAATTAAAGGTAAACCTATAAAAAAGCTCCTAGACCCAAGTCAAGTCATTTCTTCTATCCCCAGAACCCATGTAAAAAGTCAAGTATGAGTTGGCAAGATGACTGTCTCAGAGGGTAAAGGCACTTACTCTCAAACCTAACAACTGAGTTATCCTCTGACCTCCACATGTACATCATAGCATGCAGACCCACAATTGCACACGTTTTAAAAACCAATAAAGAAACGGGCGTGGTGGCTTAAGTTTGTGATCCCAGCACTGAGGACATGGAGACAGGTGATCTTGGAGCTCAGTGGCCACCTGGCTGAGACCTGACACACCTGTGTACACACAACGTGCACCAGAAACCTCAGAAGTCGTCTGGTTCTAGAGAATGCAGTCTTCCAGAAGAATCCATTGAAGCTAGGCATTGTATAAATGGGACATAGCTGCTCCAAGGTGTGGTGGATATGAGGGAGAGGACAGCCAAAGGCATCTGGAAGAGTCCAGAGCAGGGAGAGAGTGGTAGGTGGAAAGTGGCCAGCAGACTGAGCAGGACCATAAGAGGAGAGGGGGAGAGCAAGAGAGGAAAGATGATTGAGAGGGGGACCAAGGGCGTGAACACCCAGAGTGACAGGTATGTAAAGAGAGGAGAAGCCCATGAGCTGGGCAAGTTTAGGGTAAGGGGTTGGGGTGGGCAGAGCTCCATGTAGTTACGAAACAGGAAGCCTGGAAGACAGCTTGTACTTCGCTGTGCTGTTTCCTTGGACCTGACAGGCATAGTGGCACATGCCTTTAATTCCAGCACTTGGAAGGCAGGGGCAGGTGGATTTCTGTGATTTTAAGGCTAGCCTGGTCTACATAATTCCTGGACAGCCAGAGCTATATAGTGAGACCATTTCAAAAACAAAAAAGGATCCGTTGCTCTGCATGTCACCCAAGGCTGGGTCCCCACTCTGGTGGAAGTTCAGTGCATCACTCACCTCTAGAGCACACCTCATAGTTTCCATATAGCTGTGATGACAGGTGTCTTCCCATGCTGCCCTGAAGGATTAGGCACAAACTGCTCTAGAGTGTTGCTGTGACCCGGAAGTGCATCTCTGTCCTCGTCTGTATGTTTGCCCCTGGGGGCAGGGACATGCTGCTCCTACGTTGGCCACCAGAGGTCAGGACAAGCCCAGGAGCCAAAAACAGCTCAGCATGTCCTACCAAGTAGGGACCCTGGAGGCCTCGGCCTGAATTGAAAATAACCAGACTGAAGGCTGGCTGAGGGTGGAAAGTAGGGGGAAGAAATGGAGAGATGGCTCTGAGATTAAGAGCACTGATATTCTTCCAGAAGAGCTGGGTTTGATTTCCAGCACCCCCGTGGTAGCTCAGATCCATTTGTAACTCCAATCCCCAGGGATGTGGTAGTCTACAAAACACTCATACACAGGAAGTAATTATATATAAAAATTAATTTTTTTCAAAACAATTTCTCTGTGTAGCCTTGACTGTCCTGGAACTTGCTCTGTAGACCAAGCCTGGCCTTAAACACAGAGATTCACCTGCTTCTGCCTCCCGAGTGCTGAGATTAAAGGCATGTGTTACCATGCACAGCTAAATAACAATTGACAATTGTTGGGTTGTTTTGTTGTTGTTTTGGGTTTTGTTTTGTTTTTTGCATTTTGAGACAGGGTTTCTCTGTGTAACACCCCTGGCTGTCCTGGAACTTGCTCTATAGACCAGGCTGGCCTCAAATTCACTGAGATCTGCCTGCTTCTGCCTCCCAAGTGCTGAGATTAAAGGCGTGCACCAGCACCACCTGGCCACAATTTTTTTTTTTTCCGAGACAGGGTTTCTCTATGTAGTTTTGGCCTTTCCTGGGACTCACTTGGTAGCCCAGGCTGGCCTCGAACTCACAGAGATCCGCCTGACTCTGCCTCCCGAGTGCTGGGATTAAAGGCGTGCGCCACCACCGCCCGGCCCAATTTTTTAAAATAAAATAAAGGAAGGGGAAATCTTGGGACATGGGAAGGAAAAGAAACTTGTCACTCTTGAATGTGAGTGAAGCCTCTTGCCAGAGGAAAGCAAGAATTCCAGCCTAACTACATTCTCCCTTCCCAGGTATAACCTGTGATTTCCTCAGGATCTCATTATACATCTCATCACATATACAGGGACAGGACTTGAGGATGTACTGACCCCTGTGCAGCTCTGATGGCCCTGGCTTCACTTCATCAGATTATAACCTCACCCAAGGTTTCTGCAGAGCCACCTCACATCTCCTTTCAGATGAGCAAGAAGGAGCCTGCAAGATGGTTCAACCTCCAGGACCTACATGGTAGAGGAGGGAACTGGCCCCTGCAACTTGTCACCTGACCTCTGTTCACACTGTAGCAGACACACACACACACACACACACACACACACACACACACACACACACACACACACAAATTAATAATGACATGTATAGGGCTTTTGTTGTTTAAACAGAATCTCAGCATGTAGTCCTAGCTGGCCTGGCTCTCACAACATCCCCCTGCCTCTGCTTCCTGAGTAGTAGGGTTAAAGATATGTGCCATCACACCCAGCATTAAAGATTTATTTTTATTCTTATTCATGTGGATATTTGTGTGTCTGTCATGTGTGAGTGCATTGCCTCAGAAAGCCAGAAGAGGGCATCAAATTCCTTTGGAACTGGAGTTGTAGGCCGTTATAAACCAAGTGCTCTGGAAAAGCCCTGTGTGCTAACTGCGGAGCAGTCTCTGCAGCCCAGCACATGTCATTTTATAAAAAAAGAGAAAAGGGAGAAAAACAGTTTCTTGGCAACATGCTAAAATGATACAGATATTTAATGCTCCATGTGACCCTCTGCCCTCTCTGGCCTAAGAGGTCATGTACAGGCATATATATACCCACACAGATGTGCACACAGACATGATAATAATAAAATTTTCAAAGCCGTATCTTTAATTTTTGTTAGTATTTTATTTATTTGTTGTCACATGGACTTTGTAGCCCTAGCTAGCCTGAAACTTGCTCTGTAGACCAGACTAACCTTAAATTCATAGCGGTTACCTGCCTCTTGCCTCTTGAGTCCTGGGATTAATGATGTATGCCATGGTGCCCAGCTTAAAAAATACGTATCTTTATAAATACATATCTTTAATAAAATTTCCAACTCTGATTCATAAACTGGTCAGTCATGGAACTCTTTTCATTGTCGAAGCCACAAACTCCAGCCTGAGTCAAGATCCCTGAAAGTCCAGGAGGACTGCTCAAGCTGATGAGGGTGGCAGTGTGGGGCTGTCTCTGTCACCTCACTACAGACATGTCCAGGCTCTCACCTTATCCACAGGGCTTTGGGGTGAATGTCCCCTCCCACCCTCTCAGTTCCCTGTGACTCTCCAATCAGCTAAGAAAAGGCTCAGGGCTTCCCAGGCATTACGGCACCACTTCAGTGACTGGACAGACATTTGCAGAACAGCTCTGTGCCAAGGCATGGGGAAAATGACTGGGGACTCTATAGACACACCAGGCCACCTTCCTCAGATAGGGGACTTTGAAATACATATGTTGTTATTGAGGAAGTACATGTGGCGGTGGTCAGAGGACAACTCAGTGTAGTCCACTCTCCTCCCACCTTTATTAGGGGGCTTCGGGGATCAAACTCAGATCATCAGGCTTGTTTGCAGATGCTCTATCCTCTGAGCCTTCCCCCAGCCCCAGAGGGGACATGGAACTTCCAGCAGTGGGGCCTGTCTGTAATAAGGGCCCAACACCACTGGGGACAAATAACGGGTCGAAGAGGAGACATCTCTTTTCCAAGCCAGTTATCCTGGCATTGCAGAAGTGGAGGTAGGAGGATCAGGAGTTCTTGGGATCCCCAGTTACACAGAGAATTTAGGTCAGCCTGGCTCCATGAGACCCTGCCTCACATTTTGGGACTGGAAGAAGCTAGAGAGATGGCTCTGCTGTTAAGAGCATTTACTGCTCTTGCAGAAGACTGGAGTTTGGTTTCTAGCACCCACATGGGTGATCACAACCACCTGTAACTCTAGCTAAGATATCTTTTTCTGGCCTCCTTGGCCACCCTCAGACATGTGCACAAACATACATGTATACATAAATAAAAATTAAATCTTACTTTTTTAACATTTGCTTTTGCTTTATTTTATGTGTATAGGTGTGTGTCTGTATGTATGCATGTGCACCATGTGTATGCCAGATACCCACAGAGGCCAGAAGAGAGCATGAGACAGTGGTGAGCTCCCGTGTGAGTGCGGGGGAAACAAACCCAGGTCCTCTGGAAAAGCAGCAGTTACTCTTAACTGCTGACCCATCTCTCCATTCTGCTGTGGAATAATCCTCTTGTACACTGTAAAGATTTGTCACTCGAATTGGTTTACTAAAATGCTGATTGGCTGGTAGCCAGGCAGGAAGTATAGGTGGGACAACCAAACCAGGAAAATGATGGGAAGAAAAAGGGCAGAGTCAGGGGAGATTCCAGTGAGCTGTGGAGAAGGCAGGATGTGTAGAAAATGAGATATCAAGCCATGAGCCATGCGGCAAAGCATAGATAAGAAATATGAGCCAGGGATCGTTGTGAGTTCAAGGCCTGCCTGGTCTACAGAGAGTGTTCCAGAACAGGCTCCAAAGCTACACAGAGAAACCCTGCCTGGGGGGGGGGGGTTGAAGTTAAAAAAAGAAAGAAAAAAGAAAGAAACGAAATATGAGATGGGTGGTGGTAGTGCATATTCCAGCACTTTAATCCCAGCACTCAGGAAGCAGAGGCAAGCAGATCTCTGTGAGTTTAAGGCCAGCCTGGTCTACAGAGTGAGCTCTAGGACAGCTAAGGCTACACAGAGAAACCCTGTCTTGGGGGAAAAAAAGGACATGGGTTAATTTAAATATGAGTTAGCTAGTAACAAGCCTGAGCTATTAGCTAATCATTTATACTTTATATTAAGTCTCCAAGTCAGTTATTTGGGAAGCACTTGCCAGTTATTTGGGAGCAGGCAGTTGGGACAAGAAAACTCTACCTACACCATCCCCTTAAAATTTTGTTTTGAATGTTAATAAAACAAAACAAAAACAAAGTCCAGATGGGCTGGGGAGATCAAATGTCCTGGAGTTCTGATTCCCAGAATAGTAAAAGCCAGGTGGATGTGGTGGCCTGCTGCAATCCCAGCGTTCAGGAGGTAGAGCCAGGAGATCCCCTGAAGCAAGTGGGCCAGCTAGCCTGGCAAAATTAATGAGCTTCCTATTCAGCAAGATACCCTGCCTAGATTTATAGAGTAGACAGATTGATTGAGAGAGACACACGACATCAACCTCTGGCCTCCACACATGGATGCATACACCTGCACACTTGTGTACACACACACACAGGAACACTTACCTGTGTGTGTGTGTGTGTGTGTGTGTGTGTGTGTGTGTGTGTGTGTGTGTGTAATAGAGATGGCTCAGAGGGTGAAAGTATTTGACACCAAGCCTGATGACCTGAGTTTGATCCCCAGGATCAATGTGGAAGGAGAGAACAGATGCCTGCAAATTGTCCTCTGGCCTCCACATGTGAACCTGCACCATGGCAAACAAACACATGTACACAAAAAACAAAATGTAATAATAAGTTAGGTGTGGGTTTTTCTATATAGACCTTGCTGTTCTGGAGCTCACAGTGAGTTCCAGGTCAGCCTGGTCTACATATTGGGCTCAGGACAGCCACGCTGCATAGTAAGACTGTTATTTAAAAAGAGGAATAAAGTAATAAAAATAAAAGAAGAAGAAGACAGCAAGAGCCCGGCGGTGGTGGTACACGCCTTTAATCCCAGCACTTGGGAGGCAGTGCCAGGCAGATCTCTGTGAGTTCGAGGCCAGCCTGGTCTACAGAGCGAGATCCAGGACAGGCATCAAAACTACACAGAGAAACCCTGTCTCAAAAAAAAAAAAAAAAAAAAGACAGCAAGTGTACTTTAAAAAAAATAAATAAACGGGGCTGGAGAGATGGCTCAGCAGTTAAGAGCACTGGCTGCTCTTCCAGAGGACCTGGATTCTATGACCAGCAACCACATGGCAGCTCACAACTGTCTGTAACTACAGTTCCAGGAGATCTGACACCCTCACACCAAGTACATAAAATAAAATTCAATAAATTATTAAAAAAAAAAAAAACAAGCCAGGCGGTGGTGACGCACACCTTTAATCCCAGCACTCGAGAGGCAGAGCCAGGCGGGTCTCTGTGAGTTCGAGGCCAGCCTGGGCTACAGAGTGAGTTCCAGGACAGCCAGGGCTACACAGAGAAACCCTGTCTCGAAAAACCAAAAAAAAAAAAAAAAAAAAAAAAAGAAAGAAAAAAGAAAAAGAAAGAAACTAAGCCTCAGGTCTTCAGACTGCCTGGCTGACACTCTCCTGTCTGTCTGCTCAGAAAGGACACCAAGTGGACAGGCTGCCAGCCCTGCTGCTGGTGTTTGTGGAGGGTGAAGGCTTCCCTGTCACCTTGTACATTATTAACATCTAGAGGAACATCCTTAGAGGATAGAGGGCTGAAGGGAAATGAAGGAGTGTCTGCAACCTCTATCCAGAAACCTCTCTGTGCTCTGTTCTCAGTTCTGGAACCATACCTTGGGAGTGGTGGTGGCATATCCAGACCACACATGTGACGGGTGGATGGGTCTGAGGGGACAGGGCTGAGTTAGTCCCCACTCCTGGGACAATGTGTAATACCCCAGCATGGATCCAGACAGCCACAGGGATGTGGCTTGTGCCAGTTTCCACCAGGAGCAAATGCAAATGATGCCTCATGTTGGGCCCCAACCCGAGTACCCCAGTCACCCTGTTCACTGTTTCCCCAGCCTTCCCCAGGAAAACAGACTTCATCTCTCCAGGAAGCTCCGCCTGCCTCCAGAACCTTCCTCTCCAGAACATTCTCTGGCACAGACAGAAGGAAGTTCCTATTGGGCCACACCCGGACCACTCGTTCACAGGACCAAGGAATCTGTCACCAAGGAACCCTTCTTAGACTCCAAACCCAGATGACAAAGTATACTTTCCCAGAGCCCAACCCAGGTCATATCTCAAAATGGGCTTTGGCCAGGTAAGGCTGAGTGGCTTTTGAATACAGACTGACCCAGAGACAGCACCAATATGATCCTTTGAGGTGGTTTATGACCCACCCATTTCATCTTCATTTAATCCTTCAAGGTCTTTTTTTTTTTTTTTTTTTTTTTTTTTCCAGAGCTGAGGACTGAACCCAGGGCCTTGCACTTTCTAGGTAAGTGCTCTACCACTGAGCTAAATCCCCAACCCCAAGGTCTTGCCTTAATACAGCTAATAGGGATCTCAAGTGCTGGGTATTCCTCCATCCCTAAACTCCTGGAGCCAAGCCTTATTGTGCCAGCCCCCTAAGAAGCTGGGGAAATGATGTGCTGTGGGTTGTTTGTTGCTTGAGACGGGAGTGGGGTGGGGGGGGTGGGGGGTGGGCATGGGGGGTGAGGGGTGGGGAGTGGGGGGGTGGGATTAAAGGCGTGTCGCTACTCCTTGCTATTTTGTTTTTTTCAGTGACATCTTTGATCCATGTACACCAGCACTCAGAACACTGAGGCAGGAGGATCTCAAGCCCCAAGCCATCCTGGGTTACGTAGGAAGACCTTGTTTAAGGAGGTAGGGGGTATCCTAACATTTGGGAGGCAGAGGCTGGCAGGAAGATAGCCATAAATAGAGGCTGCCTTGGATTACAAAGCAAGACCTTGTTTCAAACAAACAAACAGGATGTGATGAAGATGTTTGAGTGTTTTTAGCTCTGTTGGTGGGGTGCTTACTGAGCATCCACAAAGCCTTGCACCATGTAAACTGGAAACTGGATATGGCAGCAGGCTCAGCATTTGGGAAGTGGAGGCAGGAGAATCAAGAGTTCAAGGTCAGTGGTTGCGCATGCCTTTATTTGGGAGCAGAGGCAGGTGGATCTTCGAGTTCGAACCCAACATGGTCTACAAAGTGAGTTCCAGGATGGTCAGGGCTACACAGAGAAACCCTGTCTCGAAAACAAACAAACAAAGTCATCCTGAGCTTCATAGTAAGTAAGGCCTGGCCTGGAGGAGAGCCTGAACCTGCTGCACCTGTGAAGAGCAGGAGAGTTCAAGGTCATCATCCTCAGCTACAAACTGAGTATGTCCTTTGGCAATCATCCACAAGAAACTTCCCTGGGAGATGCTTCGGGTCTCCTACAGTGTCTTGAACAATATGTGGAAGTCCTCAGGACTGAGTGCTCTCAGGTCTTGTTCAGTGGGTCACACATGTCCCTTTAGTGAGGGACATTTCTAAATACAAGACCTGCTGCCTCTCAGCATCTGTTTCCAGGCCAGGCATCTGCTGGGAGCAGCCCTTAGTTTCAGCCAGAGCCAGGCCTGTCCTTCCAGCCTTGCAGCCTGGACACACCCTTTGCTGACCGAGGCCTTTGCTTGCTCATGCTTTCTTTTTTTCACACACACTCTCTCTCTCAACTTGTTTCTGGGAGCTGGAGAGATGGTTCAGCAGTTAAGAGCAGTGGCTGCTCTTCCAGAGGACTGGGGTTTGATTCCCAGCACCCACATGGTGGCTCACAGCAGCCAAGCATGCAAGATTTCAGGTGACCATTCAGACACAGAGCAGATGCATGGAACAAGATGTTCCAACAGGGAGCAGTGTCCCCCAGAAACCAGAAACCTGAGAAGCCCCCTGAGCGGCCACCCTCTGGGCTGGGTTAGCTGTGAGAGTCAGAGGAAGGGGAATGAAGAGGCAGCGACACCAGAGACGCAAGTGGGGTGCACACACTCACCCTTAAGGAGGCAGGGACTGCCACTTCCAGTCCAGGACACAGGCCAAGAGGTGTCAGATGGGGACTTCTGCCTTGTGCTTCAGCTCTCGTGTGGACAGGTGTGGGGATGCTGTCTTCAGACCCACAGACCCTCCCGTGGCCACGAGTGAGCTCACATCCCCCTCCTTTCGGTGCAGCTCTGGTCTAAGAAGAATGCTTTCTCTTTCAGAAACTGCAAACGCTCTTCCTGGTGGTGGGGAAGTCACTGTAGCTCATTGGTTAAAGCACTTGTAGATTAGCTGACACACAAAGCCCCTGGGTTCCACACGTGGTAGCACACGCCTGTCATCCCAGCAGTTGG